GTCATCGCGAACATAAATACAAATACCACCTCCACGTCTAAGATGGCGATCTCTGTGGAATAGCTGATATCCTGGTAAGTCACAAGCACCTGCTGGTTTATTGTCACTAAACCATGTCTCCGTGATGACAATTAAATGGACATTTTTGTAGTTTGTTTCAATTGTAGCAGAGAAATCGTCAAACTTGTTGTTTAAGGAGCGAACATTTTGTAAGATTATCGAAGGTACAACAGGTTCACGGGCTGTCTTAATAACGTAGTACAGTGTAGGCCTAGGCCTACGTGTTTTGTCAGCTACAGGGCTGTCTCTTTTACACATCTAGATGTGTATAAGAGACAGGTAAAAGACTTATACACTTCCCAAACTTTTAATTCATTTTTTTTTGCACAATCATAAAACAATAAAATATATAACAGCAGTCAAACAAAGGAAAGACTGAAATTGTTATATTTACAAGGGAATTAAAAAAAAAATTACTATACACAAATATAATTAGGCCTACAATTAAAATATACAATTCAAATTACAATTCCAAAATACAATTCAAAATTACTTATATAAAAAAATGAAGTAAATATATAGGAATTTTCGAATCTGTTCGATAATTATTATAAGTTTATGATATGAACCTTAATAAAGTTCATTAAGAATTCCTATTATGGAGGGGATTGCAGAGTTCTTATATCGTTTAGTTTTGGGAATGAGTCCTTGGAGTTTTCTTACTCTTCTGAGTAAATGTTTGAGTCAATACGTCTGCGAGGTAGCATATGCGAGTAGCGTTCAGAATTGTATAGCGATTTTGCAAATGAAGTCAAAAGAGTTCTCCTTTCAACTAAAGTGGGAATTTGGTATAGGTCTAGAACTTGATCATAACTATATTGTTTAGGATAAGTAATAATTCGTAGTACTCTATTTTGTACCCGTTCAATGTTATAACTTTGTGCTGAAGTAATACTGGTAGTCCAAACAGGGCATGCAAATTCCAGAAGTGGTCGAATATAGGTAAGATAAACAATATAAGATCAGATTGATCCGCTCCATTTCTTTTCAGGCAGCTAATCATATAAATGCGACAAGAAGCTTTACGTATCATATCGTTAACGTGGGTGTTCCATTTTAGATCAGATTGTATTGTCACACCCAGGAGTTTGAGAGATAGGACTGGTTCAAGGGAATGATTATCCAATACAATATCATTATTATTAACAATGTCACCATTAAGGAAACTAATTGTCATGTTATAACATTTCTGGGGTTTGAGTTTCATTGAGTTGTCTTTACACCATTGATTGAGGTTATTCATAAGAACTTGTAACCTAATTTGGTTAACATGATTCCGATTGACAATATCAATAATGCTGAGATCGTCCACATATTTTCATCTGTTTTCAGTTGACATGGCTGCATCGTTAATCATAGCAAGAAAAATAATTGGACCAAGTTTGTCCCTTGCGGGACACCACACGAGACTGTAAGTGTGGAGGAAATTTCACCTAGGAATTTAACAGACTGTTTACGGTTAGTCAGAAAATTAGCAATGATAGGAATAATTGAGGGGTTGACATTCATTTTGATTAGCTTGTGAACTGCAATCGTGTGGTCAATAATATCGAAGGCTTTTTCAAAGTCTACCGTGCAAACATTAACAAAATGTCCAGGTTTTTCAAGTCCATGTAGTATTGTGTCCAACATACTTATTAGATAGTGATTAACAGAACTGCCTTTAATATTACCAAACTGCTGAGTATCAATATTGTGTTTCATATCGTCCATTACCCATTCTGCTAAGAAATTTTCAAAGATGCGAGCTAAAATTGGAGTTATAGAGATAGGTCTAAAACTTGCAAAATCTTTTGCTCCCTTTACTTTGGGGACAGGGGTAATGGATGCTATTTTTCACAAATTCGGAAAAGTTCCCTGAATTAGACAGGAGTTGAAGATAATAGTCAGCGGCTCTGCTATCTCAAACGCAAATTCTTTAATGAGTCTTATAGGGAGGTCACTCGGGTGGCCAGCTTTAGATGTATTGAGACGACGAAGTTGATTGTACACCTCGTTTCTTGTGATGGTTGGTGGCGGTAACACTGGTAAATATGTAGGTAACTTTGTGATATCCAGGGCTGGTAATTGCGAGCAAATTTTTGCAAAGTGTAAATTTAATTCTTCAGCGAGAATACTTGGTTCTTTATTCATTTGATGTAACAATGGAGGTTTTTTTTATGTACTCCGGTTAGCAATCTAACTTGTTGATGCCATTTTCCTGGTTCAGTTCGTCTAAGATTTTTTATCTTTCTTCTATACATTTGTTTTTTTTGGCCTTACAGATTTCTTTTTGAATCTTATTTCAAATTTCCTTAAAAGCATATGATTTACCATTAAC